GGGTTTGAATTCTGGTTGCCCAAAGAGCAGTTATCCATCTAGAAGAGGCTTATATAGGCATTCAGCTCAACTCAAGGCTATCAGTGGGTTAATTTCAGGGAGAAAGGTATGAAGGTGGAATAAAACCTGAATCTGGCATGAGATTTTGTCCATCCTAATGAAGTATGCCTGTAGGTGTACTGAACTTAAAAGACTTAAAAGCTGCTTATTTTGGGAGCTCCCTTCTCACTGTTTATACCCATTTCAGATGCATATTTTATAAGCCAAAGATTTTTGTACTGCAGAATCTTGGATGGTTTTTTAAAGTATGTAATTTGATCTAAGACTTGCTGAAGTGAGGAAGATAAATTGCTTATTTTTAACATTGTTTCTTTGCTCAGCATTAGCAGGTCAGGTGAATATGCAAATCCTGAGAAGCTACGAATTTTCATTGTCTGAATAGTCTTATTAGCTGACAACTTTAATGTAAAATGGGACTTTCAGAGCTGAGTTCTGTGTATCTGTGCATTTCAGCTTCTTTAGAAAAAAGTCTCTCTCAAGGAAGAAGTGAGATAGCCACAGAACCAAATAATTTGAAAACCAAATTTGATATAGTTTTTGATTTTTTTTAGATATTTAGTTAAAACTTTTCAGCTTTTAGGTGATTTTCTGTAATCCTTGTATTAGTCATTGATAACACTTAATGTGGAAATATATTTCAGTTAATCAAACCCTTATTTGCTTAAAGTTTCCTCATTGTGTTTTATTGACAGATTTATTTTCCAGGCCTATTTTTAAAAACATATGGAACAGTTTTAGAACTTATTACCATATTTTGTGAATCCTCCAAAACCTTGTACCTTGTATTCTGGAGGTTAAAATACTTTTCATGTGGGAAAGTAACTTCTGAAAGCAATTTTCAGAACTGCAAAAGCAAGTGATTCATGATATTTAAAACCCCAGTCTCAAATGTTTTCTTTTTTCCATGTTTTCTTAGATTTCAGCAGTTTTAACCAAAACTCCTAAATATAAGCTGAAAATGGTAGGAATGTAGCAAGCTTCTAATTAAAGGGGCTCATTTTAGACCAGCCCAAATCTTTGCTTATTCTAATATTATAAAAGCCGAAGTCTGTATGTCTGTAAAGCTTTATTCACACTCTGATTGGCTGACGGAAACAGCCAATCAGAGTGCTCCAAGCGTGGGGGGCACATCACCATTATTCTGAAGCTGCGCCAAGGACCGGACAGAGGGTGGGGGAGCCGAAGGCAGTGCTGCTGGCCTTGGCTCCCCCCAACCCCACTCCCTGCAAGAGGCAGAACAGCAGCAGCACGGGGCATTAGGTGGTGGTACTCCATTCCAGCCCCCTCGCCCTCCCGTCATTTTGTCCTAGCTCTTAAATGCATAACTTTTTGAATGAGAAGTCTGCTACGTTCCACTCTCTTTTAAACTTATATTCAGGAGTTTGGGTTGAAACTGATGAAACCAAATGATAGTTGAATTTCTCAAAAAAACACTGAAGGGTGTATTATTGACCTGATGCAGGATCAAATTGCTGCTGGGCAATGGAGTGAAGGTGAAGTTGTTGCCAGATAACCAGCTGTTGTCGCCTTCTCGTGTGCTGTGCAGCGTGCCTCAGAAACCGCAACTTCTAAATTGCATACTTGGGTTTCATTTATACTAAATCACTCCATAAATTGTCACTTTTTCTTTCTTCTTTTCTTTCTTTTTTTTGAAACAAAGTGTTTTCTTTTGCCCTCTTCATATCCATGTTTGTCTCAGATTATGATACCAATAAGTCCAATTCTACATGTCTTTTTATTTTTAATTGGTATAATCCTGAGGTAAGAAGGCACAGCTCCTGTGGAGGTCAATAGAAACTAGACTCATTTATGTCAGGCTTGAATTTAGCTCCTAATCCAAGCCTGGGTATTTTAGTTCCTGTGTAATCCTTTGGTTTCCTAGTTTTTGCTCTTCACTGATTTCACCAGGGACTAGCAACTCTGCTTGCTTAAAATCCCATTTCCCATCTCTCTAATAAATAATATTCCACTTGCCCCCAAAAAGCTGACCCTCATTGTGAGATACAACATTTGGAGTCTAATTCTCAACCTCTGACTTCCATATCAGATGATCCTAACATTACTTTTAAAAGGGCACATCAAGTAAAATAAAATAATATAAAACAAAAGCAACCTAGGTGCCTTAGTAGCATTTCTGGAAGGAAAATGGGATAGGCAGGGGGTCAAGGGGATGGGTATTTTAAACTTTGGTGACTTTGGAACCTGTACAGCTTCTCATAGGAGAGGGGTGTGAAACTTCTACCTGTTCTGATGTATTTGAGTCCAAAATTACCCAAAGTAACAGTTGTTTTGTTGTTCAAGGCAATTCAGATGTTGTGGTATCAATTATGAGAGTTGTGAATGATGTATGAAATGACACCATTTCTGTGCAGGGCCCAGAGGGAATACAATAATTGTTCTTTTGTGATACTTGCCAAATTGTTACACAGGCAATCATCAGCACAAATGCTTCCATAAGAGTCTATCAGCCTCAAAGACTCAGGATGAAAGAAAGAAAGAAAGAAAGAAAGAAAGAAAAAGAAAGACTTTTGATCCACCTCACAGCTCAAGTTCTTGCTTTTTTGAAGACTTTGTTACAGCTTTCTCTCCACGCCCCTATCAAAATGCAAAAATTATTTCATTAAGTCTATTATGTTGCTCTCCCCTGAAGACTGGTAGCAGTCAGTGAAAAAGCAACTTTAATATAAGGTAGAAGCTGGAGCCTGGATACGCCGACATTGTGGGAGGTGGAGGTCCAAAAGATGCCCATCTTCCTGAGTCGCCACAAAGTGTTCCTTGACCAAAATTGGGAATCAAGACCAGAGAACACTTTCTGGTGCAGACGTCTGTGCCAACTTCTCAACTTGGGAGCAATGGTCTCATTAAGGAAATAAAGGCTTGCTACTGTCATCATGAGTATCAGGATCAAAATTACCACTGATTTCAGTGGGAGCCAGGGATTGAAAGATGTATTTAATTCCTGGAGTGGTTTGAGGCACCTAATGTTTTGCTAAGTAAAAGCCAGTAAACATTTAACATGCAGTATGCAAGGTCTTTAAAAAAAATCCCTGAAATGATTTGTGTTTTACAAAGACACATTCCTGGTTATTGCTGCATTTGTATGTGACTGAGGCTAGATCCAGCAACGATTCAGTGAAATAAGATGTTGGTCCAAAGCCATAGAGTGCTTTTCTTCTTGCCATTATAGAAACAACAATAGCACAAAAGAAAATATTGTTGGTCTTTAAACAAGATGTAAAATACATTCAGTGTTTTTTAAACTTTTACACCACATTAAAGTGAAGTATTTTCTTGATTTAAGACTGTTTAAAATTCTGAACTTACAAGCAGAGACCAGATTGGATTCAAAATATAGACAGGAGTGATGATGTGGGGTTTTAGCTTTTTAATATATATTTCTGTAAATTACTTACCAGAGAAATACCTATATGTGCCTTTGAACTTTTAAAGTAACAGTATTTTCCTCCAACTTTATATTCTTTTATTTATTTTTAAGAATTTTTACTTCTCAAGGAATAAGAAAGGATGTTATTGTAGAAAAGGTTTTCTTTTCTTTTTTTCCCCCTGCAGTGACTGACAGTGGGCTGAATTCTGTCCTCAGTTAATCACTGGAAATTACACCCAATTAACAGAGGCCTAAACTGTGATTCATGAGGTATCTTGGACTGATTAGGATGGAAGACAGGGTGGATAAGTAGTGTTAATAATCAACAAGAACAGTTTTGTCCTTTGTGAATTATGTTTCTTAATTTAAGGGTAATTTTATCCAGTCTCTTTTAAACTTTTCCTTGATTAAGGTTTGAGTGCATGAGTTACAATGAAAGTAACTAGAATATAATAGCTTTATGATAGTCAATTAGAGTTTTGTCATTGACTTCAAAGGGGATGGGACTTCACCCCTGTTTCTTATGCAAATGGATCTTAGCATATGGAATATCCCTCCTATATAGAGTTGCTCTTAGTTCTGCCAGTTGCTTTTAGGCCTAAAAGGATCTTTCTAGCAACCAGGACTAACAGAAATATAAGACTATTGTAGCCATGTCCTTTGTATTGCCATGGTAATGCACATGGTAACTGTAAGGGATCTTTTAGGACCTCTGTAAAGAAGGATTAGGACTGACTGAGCAGTTCAAAGCTACTGCATTGAATATTTGTTGGCCATGTAGTGTTCAACAGGGAAGATGAGGGTGCTCAGAGCCCTGTGTACCCCATTGCCTGATGGTTAGGATAGGTACTGGAAAAGCAGGAGTTGTAAGTACAGATCCCCTTCGGCTAAATGGGGCTAGAACCTGAATAGATTGTCTTCCTTGGATTGAGCTGGATCCTGATATGAAGAAGGTAGACAGGAGTTTACCATTGAATGTATAGGAGAGAGCCCAGGTACATTAGGATTGGTGAAGGCTACTCATCCTAAGAATAGGAAAGTTACATGTCTTCACAAGGTGGTTTAGGACTGGCCCCTGAAAGTGCAGTAGGCTGCTCTGGGAGAGAGAGAAATAACATTTTTGAGGCAAGATACTTACTTTTGGGGCTGATCGGAGGAAAGACTTAGAGGCTGTTTAGGATCTGGCCCTAAAGCTATAGAATCTGCCTATCAGTTACATATAATCTAAAATTAATACCTTCCAGATCCTCATTTACAACAACATAGTGCAAGTTGTTTTTAATATTTCCCTAAGAGGTTGGCAGCTACAAAAGCAGAATTAATTATTAGAAATGGCAAATCCAGGGGGGTCCATTCATAGCATCTGAGGTAGCAGGCCGTTGCCTCTTAGCCCATGCTTCTGAACCAGGCAGTCACCAAGGTGCCGCCCTGCCTTGCCTTCTTCCTGCATAGTCAAATGCAACTGTTTGTCTTTTGTGTAGCCACTTCTTACTTCTTTTTTGGCAGTTTCCACAACTTGGGATAAAATCTACTACAGGAGGAAAAGGATGAAAAGATGGCCAATTTGCTACCAAGTTCTGGCACTTTCCGGAAATTCACTTGTGAATCCTTGGCTGCTATTGAGAAGCGAATCACTGCCCAGAAGGCATGCCATGACCAGCAACCAGAAGAGAAACCTCGGCCCCAGCTTGATCTGCAGGCTTTTCAAACACTGCCTGCTCTCTATGGAAATCCTCCTCCAGAGCTCATTGGGGAACCACTGGAGGATCTTGATCCTTACTATAGTGATCACAAGGTCAGAGCTACCCAAAATGCCTGTTGTTATTTTTCTTTGCTTTATAAGTTGTTTATGCTGAAGACTTTGATTTTCATTCCTCTTAAACCACGTACCCATCTTTTTATTTGCTTGAAGGATTGCAGAATTAAAATGAAGAGTGCTCCCTTTGAAGGGTTGTATTATGACACTAGGCAGAGAAGATTGTATGGGTAAATGTGATGTCTTTTATTAGACTAACTAAATACTGTAGTTGGAAACATTGTTCTTTACACTTTTGGTCATGAACACCCTTCTTCAGGCATAGGGAGAGTCTGCTGGTGTTTGTATGGTCTTCTGGGTGGAATAGGAGCTTAAGCCAGTATGCAAAATGCAGGTCTGTGAAAATGCAACTGTGTGGAGGGAAGATCGGGGGGATGTGAGTTAACTATATTAGGATGATTGTATTTAAGTAAGTGATAATAAAAAAAGCACATAGCACAATAAGTGATATCGTAATGAAAAGATTAACTTTCACCTCCAGTAATTAAACAGAAGGAAATTCATCAGTATGAAACACTGGGATTCTGCTTTAGTTCTCTCAAGTGAGGCCAAAGGGGAACTTAACAATTTATGTTAATCTTCTAGATCAGTGAACTTCTCCCACTCTGGATATAACTTGGGAAAGGACAGAATATGAGAATATGTTACTACATGCCATTTTTTTTACTGGTTTATATAAAGGGTTTTCCAGTATATTAGATCCATGTGGAGCCTACACCAAAGCCACTACATTACATGCAGCTTTTCTTTGAGGGATGCTAGTGGGTGCAGCACTGTCACTTGCATTGCAATGCCTCTGGGAATGAAAAATAATAGAATTTTAGGCCCCTAAATTGTTTTGTGAATCCCACCCTAAGTTATCAGAAGCTATTTAAAAATATTCACAACTGGAGGATATTTTTAATTAAGGTAATTAACTTCGTAATCTTTTATAGCAGTGAGGTCCAACATTTTAGGCAGGTATGCCACAAATAGTTCTGCACCATCTTATCCCAGTTCCTGGCCTTATTGGCTGTTCTACTTTCTGCTCACTGCCCCATCTGCCACTGTGCTGTCTGTCCCCTCCCCTGTCTGCTGCATGTCACACACAGAACCTGCTCGTGCCATTTGTGGCACACATTCCACAGGTTGGCCACCCCTGCCGTATAGAGTCACTATCAACCTTAGTGAACCCTGAGAAAGGCCTTGATCTGGAACCTGTTTACACATGGATGCAACTTTATTCACATAAGGAGTCCAATTTGTTTAATGGGAATAGGGCCATAAGTAAAATTACCCATGTGCACAACTTTTTTTAGGATGAGTCTTCAAGAAAGTATCACACTTATAATTTCCAATTTTGTAATGACCTTAATTTACATGGGAAAAAACAGTGGCTTTTAATGATTTTTTAAAGTTATATGTAACAAAAGAAATAGGCAAAATTATAAAGAAACCTTTCAATTTGAACATACAAACAAACAAGTCAGTGATCAAACTCCTATCCATAATTATTTGAAACACTGGCCATGAATATCAATACTTCTTTTCAGTGAATAATAACTGAGGAGTTTTAGTTATTTAGTATCAACTCTATTTTTTTTCCTTTAAAGACATTTATGGTATTGAACAAGAAGAAAACAATCTTCCGATTTAGTGCTACACATGCCTTGTGGATTCTTAGTCCCTTCCATCCAATCCGAAGAGCAGTGATTAAAATCTTGGTACATTCATATCCTTTAAACTGGCTTTACTAACACTTTACAATAAATATGGGAGTCATGGTGTGCTCATATTTTAGAACATGAAATAGGTAGAGCCTTTTCCTGAAAGCAGGAATATAGTTGCTACAAATGACTACATAGATCATTCTGAATCATTTTAGAAATGGTGATTATTTTGTCTCCCTTAAGATGCTTACTAAAAAGACTGTCTTCAGTACATGAAGGAAGAAATGTGCATGGATAGTTCTACAAGGAACTGGTCTTGGAAGACTATGACAGGCTGCTTTGCATGCCAATCACTTTAAAAGGAAAGAGGCCAAATGAGAAGCAGCCCGCAGGTGTGGCAGGGGCCAGTTAGAGAGTTACCTGACCAGGAGGGGCCTGGGCTTGAAGCATATAATCCCAGGGCCTGAGTTGGCCAGGACTCTAACCCTGAGAGCCATGGAGAGAGGAGCTCCTGGGTAGCATGGCTGTACCAGGGGTCCTGGTTAACATCTGACCTTGGGTAAGCCACTCTGGAGGTTTGAGGAAGGGGCTAGGGGGAGCAGTGGGTCCCAATAGGTCTGGGAACAGGGCAAAAGAAGGACAGAGAGGCCTGAAGGATAGGATTAGAGGGTCTGTAGCCTGCAGAAGGGCAGGAGAGAGCAGAGAACTGAAGAGCTGGGAAGCAAGGAGGGCCGTGGTTCTCCTGGCTTCAACTGGCCTAGAAGCAGGGCCAGGGTCTAAGGAGACTGAAGGCCAGGGGCCACTGCCAGAGGCCGAGGGAGCCAGAGGACCTGTAGCTGAAAGAAGGGTATAGACAAAGCAAGGGAGCCCAAGGATTGAGGCCAGGGCCCTGGAGCCCAGAAGGGGTAGAGATAAGAGCTTGAGGGGGCAGGACATGGTGCTCAGGAGTTGCCCACAAAGGCAAAGCACAGATTGAGATGGTGTACTTGGGGGTAGCCTGCAAAGGCAAAGTGCCTGGGTGGAGAAGGAAAGCCTGGAAGCTATACCTGGGAGTAGCTGAGCTAGATGAAGTGCCCAGGCAGAGAGACCCAGTCACAAGGACTGAGGCCATGCCCCAAGGGGGCTGGTGATAGTCACTGATTTATAAAATCTGTGAGTCATGGGCATGGTGTAAGGGGCAGTCAGAGCCATGTCATAAGCACCTAAGGCAAAGTAGAGACACTAGAATACCGACATGAGATCAGGGATCCCTGGGACAGCCTCCATTTCTAAAGATCTAAGAACAACAAGGCGTGGCAGCCAAGGTAAAGAGGGCAAGCCTAAGGGGTGAGCAGCCACCCTTGGGATGAGCACCTGTTACACAGACAAGTAATACAAGGCGTGATACTGAACTCATTTTTACTTGTAAGAATCAAAATCAGTCCCACTAAACTCAATTCTAGACGTAATTCACTGCTTGTTTTGCCTGGGATCACCTCCACGACCTGTGAGGTGTGGACACCATGGATTGGCCAGCCTTTAGACATTGCTTTTCTCCATCAGGGTCACTGTGCTTGTGGTCCAGCTGTAGGGTCTGTGTAAGCTCCTATTTGTTCCAGGGCATAGTAGGGCATCTGCCACATGCAGAACTGCCTCATGAATTGGTTGTCCACAAAGGAGCATAATATATTATAAATGGGAAGATGAGGGACAGGAGGAGGCTAGTGTTGAGCATGGACATCTTTTCCCCACATCTTTACCACAAGTCTTGTATGAGGAAGGAACATCCTTTGGCAAAGGTACTGAACTAAAACACGTGAAATCTGGATTCGGTTCCTATTGCTGTCAAAGCTTTCCTGTGTGAGTATGTTCATGTCACTTAGACTCTGTGCATCTCTCTTCCCCACCTCTAAGTGAAGATAAAAAATGCATCCTACATCAAATACATCTTACATTTGGACTGTGAGCTCTTGGGGGTATGATGCATCTTGACTGTATAACTGTGCCGGTAACATAAATAACATTAATAGCGCCCTATTCCATGATACAATTCAAACCTGATAAATACCTATAAATGAAAGCATTCAGTGTGCTACAGGATTCAAAATCAAACAAATTCAGGCTGATGGAACAAATTGGTGAAGTTGCTGATTACCCTGTAGTTTTCCTTGCCTTAACTCTCGTTACTCACATTATTCACTTTGTTTATTATGTGTACTATTATAACCAATTGTGTGTTCATGGTGGTTATGCCTGATAAGACATCTTCATCTTCATCTCCCACCTGGAACAAGTATGTTGAGTAAGTATTTTTGTGTGTGTGTATATACCTATATATAGACATATATATATATTAGTTCCCTTGTTAATTAGTGCGTGTGCCACATTTATAGCCCTTGTGCAGCATAATCTCATATTGAATTTGGTAGGAATTTTACTTCTGTTGAAACTTAAACAATATGGGCTGGGGGTGTAGAATCATCTTCTGCTTTGTTTTGCAGCGGTTTAAATCCAAAGTAACTCACTGGAGTCCCAATGGGCATGTGCATTAGTGCACTTTTCCTCATGCACATTAAATTTAGTACCTCCAGGCATTTCTAAACATGCTGTGTGGGTGGCAGGGGGGGCACTTGAATTAGAGTGGCTTTAGCTAAAGCACCCCCACCACCATTTTGAAGTGCTACTACATGAGGACGCGGAGGCTGGCTGGAGTGCGGTAATTACCACACTCCAGCAGACTCAATTAATCGAGTTTGCTCTGACGTGCTGTAATTGCAGCATGCCAGAGCAGCCTCCTGGCTAATGTACAGGCACCCTAGCGCACATTAGACTGCCCTAATTCTCTGTAGTGCAAACGCATACTTTTTAGGTGATGCTCAATGCGCAGCAGCCTATTTTATTGTGTGCTATAAATTTATATGAGACTTTTAAAATAGGATACTGCACATTAAAGCACACGTGTAGATGTGCCCACTGTAGATTTTCATTGGGTAAGTGAAGGTAGAATCTGGTTATCTTAACTCCACATTTTTCTATTTATCTTACCTATACCTATCTTTATTCTAAGTTCTGAAGTCCTTCCACAGCTGTTACTCATTCTTACCCAGGAAAATCTATAAATCAACATTGAGCAAGGATTTCAAGATCAATGTTTTACGTTCATTTGAACAATGTTGATTCAGTGTGCATTCTTTACTCATAGAAAAATTCCACAGATGTTTTTTGCCTGTGTGACTCTATTAGTAAGGCTCTCATTTTCAGCATTGCCAATTCTTATACTTTTATCACTAAAATTACAGTAATCGGCATTTTTCTTAAAGCCTGGCTCTTGAGAGAACCTGAGAATTCAGACAATATTTTCAGAATCTGTTTTTTTTTCCTAAGTAAAAAAGGCTACAGATTTTCTGAGTACCAAATAAATGCCTTTAGAATTCTCTGAGGGGATTTCTGTCTTGCTGAAATAAGTGCACTCAATAAAACCCGCAAAGATTTTACTGACAGTAAAAAATTACTACCTTAAAATGAAAAGCCCTTAAAGCTTTTTAAACATTCTGGATAGAAGTTGAAACCAGAGGCGCAAAGTAAACAATGCTTAGTGCATTGAATGAGCATTTTGGGGTGTTGAACCAGTGGAAGATATGGAATATGGCTGAATTTATTTACAAGTAGCTATTGAGAACGGATGCCTCACATTTTGGGTGTCTAACATGAAACACCTTAAGATTTTAGCCGAGAAAACTGGCAATCCAGACAAGTATGCCCCAGATTCTGATAATGATAGCCATGTCAACTAATATTTCAAATTGCCTCTTAGTTAGCCAGTTCCCAATTAAATTAATCGGAGTCTTTCCATTACCTCGCTGAGGGTATTGGTTCAGGTCCTTGGAGCTGTCAGAATCCAGAGAGAGAGTAGGCTTGAGTGCAACTTATATCCTCTTCCATTAATTGTGGATACTCTTGCTTTTCTTGGTTACTCTGATCCCCAGGTACACTTTCACTGGCATTTACACTTTTGAATCATTGATAAAAATATTGGCAAGAGGATTCTGTCTGAATGAATTCACTTTTCTTCGAGATCCATGGAATTGGCTGGATTTCATTGTTATTGTTCTGGCGTAAGTAAGGCTTCACGTGTGTGTGTTTCTTTAAGAGAGCTAAATTGTTCTTGCCTGTGTTTATTTTCTGTAGAACTTTTCACTGACATATTGTATTTTGCACTCAGATACAAAAAAAATGTAAGGAGTGAGTGTTAACTGCACTTGAAAAACTACCCATATTTCCCCCTTTATTTTATGGCTTCAAGCATAGCAAGAGCATATTTGTCTCACAAAAAGAGTGGGAGGCTCTATAGAGGAAGGCAGCTTATATGCAGTAGTCCATCGCATGGGAACTGGCAGCCATTTTATATGAAACTGGGTCTGACATGACAAAGATTGATGCAATGTATCTGTTTTGTCCAAAAGAGTGAATGAATGTGTGCGTGTGAAGACAGAATGGCCACAAATATATGGACACCGTGTTAGTCAGTGGATCAAGTCTGGCATCAACTACATTTGAACTTGATCTAGCTGTAATTAGCAAATGCAGTGGCTGCGAAATACAATCAAATCCATTAAGCTACAGCACTAAAACATACTCCAGTTCCATAAGCCTGTCAAGACTGTCTGTGAGCCACATTGTTCAAGTTGCATGTGGGATGTCTTGTTTGCTATCTCTTTCCAGTTTAAAAGCATGGAGAGGTAAAATGTTTTAGTCCAGGTTTTGCTTGATTGTTCCAAACAGTTGAAGTGCTGCATGGGATAAGATTTTTCAGCTCAGGCTTTTATTTTGCTTAACCCAACTAGCAAACACATGCATGGATCCTCAGCACAGCTCTAGGGCTGGGAGGGCCCAGGCAAATTCCACAGCTCCGGGGCTATGCTGTTTTTAACCCTCCCTATTCCCTGCCAATCGTGACCAGGCTATTTTAGCATCCCCTCCCCTGAACAGCAAGCCCCTGAATTGGACACCCCCATGAACCCACCAACCCCCCAGTCCCACCAGGCCCCTTCCAAGTGACCCCCTCGCCCTCCAGATTTACTCACCTCTGGCTGTCTGCACAAACACATGCATGAATCTAACTCAGGTTTAAGGGTCTCAAAGCCATGTAACCTGAGCTAGGTCTTTCAAATGCTTGTTTGCCCTCTCAATGTATTCCCAGGCATAGCTCACTAAGAGCTCAGCTCAGTCAGGAGAGAGGTGAGGATCTAGCTACCAAGCCCAAATACAGCTACAAGGCTTAACCATTTCTTAAATCCTGGGCGTCTAAGGGCACTATTCATTACCATTCTAAAGAAAGGAGTAGCAAATTATAGCACTACAGCTGAAAAGAAACCTAGATACACCTTGTGTGGGGACCAGATATGAGCAAACTGCGCCACTGATTCAGGTCAAGATCTGACACTAAAAGTCAAGACGACGGCTTGAGCCATCTGTACGAATCAGGATTTGGAAGGTCTGAAAGCTGTAACAAAGCGGTAAGTGAAGTGATGGTGCCAGAAGGCAAAGTAAAAGCCTAGAGCAGGAGCCAGGGGTACAGCCAAATGTTGGGAGCAATGAAAACAGAGAAACCATAAAAGTATTAGGAGAAAAGATGGATTTGTGTGGACTGGCCTGACTCCCACTGCTAAGAGCTGCCCCAGGTACCTAGGAGCATCTACCAGCACTGAGTTGCTGGTTCTCCAAAACAACTTGTCCAGGCACAATCCAGTGGAAGCTAATTCAGCTATTGCCTACCTAGCCCCACGTGGGGTAGGTCCAGCCAGCTGTCAGCCACTTGGAGACCCTGACGTGTGTGTGTGTGTGTGTGTGTGTGTGCGCGCACGCGCGTGTGTGTGTGTTTGGAGACCCTGACGTGTGTGTGTGTGTAGAATAAAGCTTGGTTGCTGGGGGGTTTTCGTTTTAAACAAAAGTTTTTGTCTATGCAAAAAGTGGAATTCTGGTGACATCAAATTCTACTTCCTGCTATGCATAAAACTGGTGTGAGTTTGTACATAGAGAAAGGATTGAACAGTAGTAGTATCAGTAAGAAGAGGAACAAAGACAGTATTTCAGACATACTTAGGAAGTATCAAGTATCAAGTTGAGTGCCCTGTCCCTTGATTGTTCCCGGTGGTAGTCCTGGGGCCAGTTTTGTTCAATATCTTCAGGTGGGATGGAGTGCACTCTCAGCAAGTCTGCAGATGACACCAAACTAGAGGGAGTAGTGGGTATGCTGGAGGGTAGGGCTAGGATTCAGAGTGACCTAGACAAATTGGAGGAGTGGACCAAAAGAAATCGCATGAGGTTCAGCAAGGACAAGTGCAAAGTCCTGCACTTAGGGTAGAACAATCCCTGCACCAGTACAGGCTGGGGACCAACTGGCTCTGCAGAAATGGGATTAGGGTTATGGTGGACAATAAGCTGAATATGAGCCAACAGTGTGCCCTTGTTGCCAAAAAGGTAACAGCATACTGGGCTGCATTAGTAGAAGCATTGCCAGCAGGTTGAGGGAAGTGATTATTCTTCTCTGTTTGGCATCGGTGAGGCCACATCTGCTCAGTTTTGAGCCCCCACTACAGAAGGATGTGGACAAATTGGAGAGAGTCCGGCAGAAGGCAACAAAAATGGTGAGGGGGCTGCAGCACATGACTTATGAGGAGAGGCTGAGGGAACTGGGCTTATTTAATCTGGAGAAGAGAAGACTGAGGGGGGATTCAATAGCAGCCTTCAACTACCTGAAGCGGGGTTCGAAAGAGGACGGAGCTGGACTGTGCTTAGTGGTGGCAGATGACAGAACAAGGAGCAATGGGCTCAAGTTGCAGCAAGAGAAGTTTAGGTTAGATATTAGGAAAAACTTTCTCACGAGGAGGGCAGTAAAGCACTCGAACAGGCTGTCCAGAAAGGTGATGGACTCTCCATCCTTGGAGGTTTTTAAGACCTAGCTGGACAAAGCCTTGGCTGGGATAATCTAGTTGGGGTTGGTCCTGCTTTGAGCACGGGGTTGGACTAGATTTGACCTCCTGAGCTCCCTTCCAGCCCTCATTTCCTATGATTAGTAGGATAAGTAATCAAGAATTGCTAGACTGATTCTGGGTGTATGACAGGGAAGACCACTTTTTGGGGGGGACTAGGTTGCTTGTAGGCAATTTGATATACTTCCATTGTGGGAACAAGAGAAACTGTTATTTTGTATTGATTCATTTTAGTCTGGATTCTTTCAGGAGGGGACTTGCAGTGCAGGGAGAATATGTAGTTTTATGAGGGGCCTGGGGAGAAAGTGCGCTGTAAAATTTTTATTGGGGATTCAGTCAAAAATATGTATGCTCTCCTCTCAGTCTAGATTGGTCTGAAAAATGTCAGTGTTGTCTTTATTTGAGAGTGTATAATGTTCAAAGATGTTGTCAGCATACATAACCAAGCACTAATCAAAAAATAAATCCCTAATTTGTCCTGGCTAGGATAAGCCTCTGATGATGATTTATTAATGCTCAAAATTGTGTATGCTCAGAAGAGTTAGCAGTTAAGAACCCCTGTATATAAAATAGTTGAACTATTCATTCGTGTTGATAGACAGTTGTGTCACATCCTTATTTTACAGATATGCCGGAGAGTTTAGTGACTTAGGCAGTGTTTCAGTCCTTCGCACATTCAGGGTACTGAGAGCTTTAAAAACCATTTCAATAGTGCCAGGTAAGCCTGTTCTTGGAATACAGCTACAAGTGAGTCCATCCTCCAACCTCTTCACTCTTTTGTCAGATCTTTTGTTTTTATCTTTCACTTGTTTATATACTGTGTATTTGTAGGCCTGGTTTAACGTCTCAGCCTTGTTGGCCTACTCAGGATAATTAAGCCAATAGAAACAATTTGCTGTCTCTCTTTGTTTATGTCTAAGAATTTTAAAAAATCTTTATAATATCTGCTATGCAGAATTCTCTTCTGGTTGCTCTTATTTTTCATAATATTTTGACTGTGCAATGTCTCCAGTATCTTAACAGACTTGTGCATTATCATTAATGTTTATTGTGATAAGATCAAATCTCATTTGGTTTTTTGTTTATTCTTTAAGCAGACACTCAGTGGAAGAGTTGTCTGTTTAAGGCTACATAAAAATGAAGTACAGGCCATTGATTTGGTGCATTGTCTCTTTCTGGACACTGTATTGATGCACTAGTTATGAAACTCTGGCCACTAGACATTGTTTAAAAAGAATGATACTTTTGTGGTTCAGCTTCTCAGTCTATAAACTGTTTTATCTCCTTAGGATTGAAGGTCATCGTAGGTGCACTTATTCAGTCTGTTAAGAAACTTGCTGATGTGATGATCCTGACTGTTTTCTGCCTGAGTGTCTTTGCCCTCGTAGGGCTCCAGCTCTTTAAGGGTAATTTGAGAAATAAGTGTGTCAGGAACCACACTAAAATAAATAACTCAATATATGTGGACAATAAGACATGGGACTCTTATGATGCCTTCCTTAACGAGTCAGGTAATTTTTTTCTTATTTCCTTTATGAAAATACGGGTAAGATTAATTGTTACTACAACTTAATGTAATTCAAAATGCCAGCGTAGTTGCAAAATCCAGGGGCAATTTCCACCCCTTCCTTCCTTCCTTCCCCTTCTGCCATGTTCCTGGAAATTTCCTCTAATATCCAACAGCATTGCCCAGTATGATATGATAACAACTGAAATACATATTATTACAGTCTCTGGTGTAATTTCTAAAAGTTCTATCTTTACTGTTTGATGAATAGGTATAAGCATCTATAGTTTTACATACTGTTAAGTAGCCTACAAATATATGAGTTTTGATGCAGATTACCAGAGAATCCACTAAATTGCTTCTTTTGTCCCTTAAGTTGCATTTATTTCATATGTCTCTCTTCACTGCAATGAATTTTACAGCTGAAAATATGGTTGGGTCAATCAGAGATAGGTGAACATGCACAGATCATTTTCAAAGAAGATACAGCGTTTACTGTAGCATGTTCTCTGTCAAGGAAAGGAAGAGCTCATGCAGAAGTTATATCTCACCATACACCAGGGAATCCACACAGGAGAAACATTTTAGATACTGTGAAATGTGGGAGAAGCTTCAACCTTTAGGGAAATCTCAACATATACAAGAGATTTCAGAAGCAGGGAAAACAATTATAAACATGGCATATGGCATAAACTGTACTACTAAAGGAGAGATTAATGTAAGCTATAGATGCCATGTAGAAGTGATGCCGCTTGTACACACTGGATGTGAAGGAAGCTTGTGATCTTTCAAAACATTTCAGAAAATCCTGGGCAGCACAGCAGGTATTTATATGTACCAAAATGTGGGAAAATGGGGGAAAACCTTTAGTGCTAAGAAAATTCTCAAAATGAACCAGAAAATCCCACACAGGATCCAAACAATTTCCATGTGCAGAATGGAAACAAAGCCATATTTGATTCTTTCTTATCTGGAAGGAAAATTAGTAAAATACCAGAGATTTTCCATGCAATAGTAAAAATTGGTGCAAATAAGAACCTCAAATTAGTCCAGAGAAATAAGTAGAAACAGAAACACTCTCCATAGGGCTCATTTTGTCCTATCAGTTGTCAAATGCAAAACTGACCCGGGTCCAATATTAAGATGGATAAATGAAGGATTCAGAGGTCAGAAAATTCAAATGTTAAGATTGTTTCATAAAGAGTAACTCGGCCACGCAGGTCATGTATATTTTTGGCAGGATATGCATTATGCCTCCTAGAGAAATATTGTTTTTGCCACCATGGGTACTGGTCTTTGGTACTGTTGTTTGCTTACCATATTTACTTGAATCCAAGATAAGTTCCCCCTCCCCCCCAATATGGGGGACGAAAGCCCCATCTTGGATTTGAGTACTAGCCCACGGCAGCCAGGCAGCAGTTCAGTTAGAGCTGAGCCATTTCCTTTCCCAGGCCAGGAAGACTCATTTGGCAGGGGAGGGGGCTCACATCCAGGAGAGTTTGAGGGAGACCATGGGCAGGGGGCATGTTGGAATGGGGGAGACCCACATATGTGGCTTGGGGAAGATGCAAAAAAGACTGCACAGCCTACCCCCCCACCCCACCCAGCTGCCCCTTGCCCCCCCTATTCTCAGTCTTGGCTCTGGTCCCTCCAGCCCTGACCCAGCCATTTCTTCCTAGCTGGGGCTGGGCTGGGTCCACTGTTGCTGCTGAACAGAACCACAGCAGGAAGTAAGCAGTGGGAGTGGGAGGGAGGGAAGAGGGCAGGCACAGGGTGGCAGGCAGACTGAAGGAGGGAGCAGAGGGTGGGGGCAGGCAGGCAGGCAAAGGAGGACCCTTGATCCTGCTGCTGCTTTCCGCACTGAAGCAATGGAGCGGCTGAATTTAAAATGACCCCTCACTAGTTAGAACAATTATGACACGTTTATAAGCACCCATGTATAGAATCTAATAATTGGGGGATTGTCTTAAATTTGAAGCCATCTTGGATTCAGGTAAATGTAGTAATTTCTTAGTCTTAAAACTGTGTTAAGATCACATGGCTAAATGATGGAATCAGGAATTCTTATCACTGTTACCTTTTTTCCCTTTCTTGCTGCTCTCCGAAAATCAGTTGCATGCAATCATTGTATCTTACCTTAAAAAAAATTATAAGCTTTGGGGGCAAAAGTACAAAAGTCTATTAGCAAATCTGTCCCTTAGTGTACAATTGTCATGGTGGTTAGGAAGGGCTTGAGAGAGGTGTGATTTGAAGGAAGGCCAGAGAAAGCAGTTCTTGAGGCTTAAGGCATTTTACATAAGGGTTTCCTCTACCCTTTTGCCTCATTTTTAGGCGGTGCTATCTTGTTGTGCAATTAAGCTGAAGCAGCACAGTGTCTTTCAATCACCATGCCCATGGTAGAAGCTATAGACTGAATCTTTTAAGGCCAGGTGATGCATAGGATCATAGGAATGTAGGGATCTCATGAGGTCGTCTAGTCCAGTCCCTTCTGCAGGAAAGGATCATCTGCAGCCAGACCATCCCAGCCACTCTCTGTATAACCTGCTCTGGTTATAGAGGAATGGAAACTTCACAACTCCTCTAGGTAGCCTATCCCACATTGAACCACTCTCATAGTCAGAAAGTTCTACTTAATCTCCAGTCTAATTTTCTTCTGCTGCAATTTGTGGCCATTGCTCCTAGTCCTATCTCTTACAGCCATAGAGAAAATGTGCATCTCCATCCTCTTTATAATTGCCCTTCAGGTATTTGAAGACTGTTTAGTTTCCTTGCATTGTAGTTATGTTTACAATGCAGATTACAGGACACGTCTACATGAGATGCTTTACTCAAGATTAGAGCTAATGATTGCACAGTAGTCACATCTACATGAGACCCCCCACAGCATAGTTGTCCGTTGCATAACCGAGTACTAAATGGCTGCACAGTAACCAGTGTTACTGTGCAGTAGCATCCCAGCATGGTTGCTTAGTGACACTTACTGTGCACAAGCTCATTACTATTGCACAGTAATAATGAGTTACTGCGCAGTAAGCATCTTGTGTAGACGCAGCCAGTAAGCATCACCGTCTATACAGGCAAATGCTTACTGTGCAGTAGTTAGCTCTAACCCTATAAATACAAGTAACAAATTTATGCTTGATTACTTACTGCACAGTATGGCACAAGTAGACGGCTGACTGGGAGCTCCCATCCCCGGCCCCACGATTGCGGAGTGGGGCCGTTTGGAGCTCCCTGCTGCCAGCACAGGGGAACATTGTCCCCACCTAGGTTCTGGTGACAGAGGCTGCCCCAGCAGCAGGCAGCTCCTGGAGGTAGGGACAAATGTCCTGGGCCCTGCCAAGAGATAGCTGTCACTTGGTTCCATGCTCCCTGCCAGCCCCTGGGCTAGCACCCAGGGGGAGCCTAGAGCTCCTATGGCTGCTGCAGGGGCCTGGTGCAGGGCCTCAGGGAAAGGGAGCAGTCTGCTGCTAGGAGCAGCAAATCTGCTTCTGCACCCCTGCATGTGTAGAAGCATGCCCAGGACAGTTTACTCTAGAATAGTGTACTCTAGAGTAAACTGTTCCAGCATTATTTGCATGGATAGATGCACCCACAGGGTGTGTCTACATATCATTGTATGGCAACATTATTATGTTGCATGCTTTAGTACTTCCTTTTGGAAGTACTAAAACACGGCGCAGTAACCACCCATACTACATAGTACAGGCGGTACACACTTAAACTTCTCCACAAAGTCACCATAGTGGTGTGCTATAAGCAGGGAGTGTGCTTCTATGGTGATGTAGCTAGTGAACACATGTAGACCTGTGTGATCGCTATAGCGTTGTAGTGCTTCATACAGCACTGTGTAGACACGCCCACAGAGTAGCATGGAAGGACTCAATCTAGCTTTAAATAACATAGCTTAGGAGTCAGAAGCTCTCTACCCATAGCAGCATGGAGCTTTGTGCAGGCTAATTTATCCTGCTTTAACGGTAATCACCCTGAGTCATTGCAATCAATAGAATCATTGCACATAAATTAACTGAAGAGAAATGATGGTGTTTGGACTTGCTTCTGTTGTTATAGTGGGTCTGTTTAAGACTTACCAAGCATAAGCCTGTGTGTAGTCTGCGTAATGATGTCTGAGATTAATACAGTAACTGTTACTATGCAAGTATAACCCAGTTCTTTCAAACATAGTCTTTTCACAAGATTTTATTTAGCTTTAACTATCTGTTGACCTTGAATATTTACATTTTCTTCAGAAAAAGGAAATACAATACAAATGCTAAATTTCTTAAAGAACCAAAATTTTAAGTAATTTAACTTGTAAACGAATTATCGAATTTCCATGTACATTCTCAGACACAACATAAATGCTATAAGTTTGGAGAAAACCTTTTATATTTTTTCATGCAAAAGTAAGAGGTTGATTTCTTAGTTTTGGTGTTCAATGGCTTCACCCTGCAGTAAAGGATTATGACTGACATTTTCATAACCAGAGTAGTATCACACTATTAGTGTTCTGCAGTGCAAACCAAAGAGGATGGTGATGCCAATTCTGTGCTTATCTTCATGCAAACTGGGGGGGTACTTTGCCAAAAGTAAGTAACTGTAGATTACATCAGATCCAGTTGCCATTAACCAGATAGGGTCAAATCCTCTTTCATATTTGTGCACTGAAGTGGGGGTTAAGTAGTTGCATAACCGCAAGTTTTGGCAGGTATGCACAGTTTGGAGTCCATTTCCATCTATGGTAGAACAGAATCTTCCTCTGGGCATATCTACTGGATGAGAGAATGAAGCATAGAGGGATCCTCCAAACTTTTAGCTCAATTCCTGTGTTGTTATGGCACTTGCCAAGGGAGCGGGAAATTCAGATTCTAGTCCTGGCCTCATCCCCTCATCACCAGAGGGGCTCTGAGACAGTGCATTGCTAAATCACCCTCGTAGGGAGCTCAGGATGTTGCCAGCACCACTTCATGAGCTATGGCAGGGTTGTCAGACTCACCTAGTACCCTGGGCCATATCTGGACCATGGGGTTCTTGCAGCCTGGATCTGGATGTGGCAGCAGCAAGGGTTAACGCAGCCATTGTGCTCTCTATGCCATTGACACATTTCCCAGCATGCCTCTGTACCCCAGATCTTGGCAGTGGGCTCACTCCCTGTTACCCGCCCTTAAATTCCCAGCCTCTAGGAAAACCATGGGCCAGACAACATGCACTTTTACATGTGCTCCAGCATGTTCTGATTAGAACACATCAGAGCAGACTCTGTTAATCGATCTCCAGTGTGCTGCAGCATCTCATGCATCCAGCGTCCTGCATTTCAAAACAGCAGGGGGCTACTTTAACTAAAGCTCATCTAACACCATGAGACACTGAGGGTCTCGCAAGTAAAGCGGCTCCCAAGAGCCATTCTAATTAAAATGCACTGCCCTCCCCCGAACACATGTATAGGCATCCCAGAGCTCTGCAGGCTAGATCTAGCCCAAGGGCCGTACATTTGACACCCCTGATCTACAGCATCAGTAGTTATGAAGCAGGTGCCTCAGCTCCAGTATTATGGTGTTCCAAAGGAGGTTCAGTGAACTGTAGGTGGTCTAGCCTGTGAGAGTTTAGACCTTTATAGTAATTGGAGTTCTTCAAGTTGTGTTGTCCTCATATATGTTCATTTACCTCCTTCCTGTTACTATGAATATCTATCATATCTAGATTCTGTGGCAACATAGGAACAGATTTGCAGTTGGGCCAGCACTGCCCTTTATGCCTTTGTTCTGGGACAGCCAGGGGTGAATGTGTGAACTCTAAAAATACTGCTGGGCAAAAGACTCCAATTGTGAGTACCTGGGGCAGAGGGCTGTCTGGTGCCCCAAACTGAAATAACAGAAAGAGAGAGAGAGAGCATATTCCAAATCATTTTGATTTCTATATTGGTAGGCAACGTTTCTTTCTTCTTATAGCGCCATTTTTGATCTTTGCACACACGCGCGCACACACACACGTGTCACTGCATTTTTACTACAATTTGTATTAATCTAGAAGATTAGATTAGAAAGCATTTTAAATGTACTGTGCTTTAATTTCTGTTACAGCAAATGTTGCCAAAAAGAACGGCACCTCAGATAACTTACTGTGTGGCAATGGCTCAGAAGCTGGGTAAGTTTTGATTTTGAATTTTTCTTTCATTGCTTCTGTATTTTGGGGCTTAGCTCAAGGCATGGGAACAGAAACAAGTTGACCATGGCATAAATTAGGATGTGAAATTACAGCATGTTAGCCAATCCATGGTAACTGGCCATGAGCACACTCTCTTACCCTGGGGTCAATGAAAGCTGCCTCATGGCAGCTTACCCCTCAGGGGTACAGCCTCAGAATTGAAACTTCCTAGACCTTAAATGCTGGAGTCTGGAAGTGAGAGAGGGACAGTGGGTAAAAAAACCTGGTCAGACCCAGTTCACTTTCCCTTTTAGCATCCACTCTCTGCCACTGTCAGACGCAGGCCAATTTGATGTGCTGTAGGGTCATGGGCTCATCATGAAAAACTATAAACCTCCCTTAATAAGGGAGGCCACTGAGGACACACCAAATGATTACTTGGGACAACAAAAGAGAAAACAGGAAGAGGAATGAGGTCTTAGGTTAATAACAAGGGATCTGGAAGGGGACACTAAGCAGAGCATACTGGCCAGTGCTCACTGCCCCCTGAATGAGCTGAGGGAGCCTATGAATGCTGACCAGTGAAACTCATCTCAGGGACACGGACAGAGGAGTGACAGGAAGACAGCCCCACAATCACCCAGGTTCTCCCCAGCCAGAGCCTCCTTCCTGGTCTTATAGATGGCCGGCTTGGCCAGACCCAGTAGGAGGTCCTGAGGCTTGGTGGGCCCATGGATAGAGAGCGCATAACAAAAAAGATACAGGGAGAATTGCAGCCAGAACCTCATCAGGACGTTCTGGAGGAGGTGAAAGAAGGGTTGCAACCTGGTGTACTTGATGTAGGCCTGTATCTGTTGGCAACAGGGACAGGTCTGTGGTGTCCATAAAGTGCACCAGATACATGCCTGTGGTGACAGCTCCATGGAGATGCCACCAGCTGAGGTCCCCAGTGGATGCATGCCCATGGTGATGGCTCCATGGAGATGCTACCAGCTGAGGTCCCCAGTGGCTTGTGGGATGAGGATTAAATACAGAGTTGTCCACTGGGGACTTCCACTCTGCCCTCACCTAAACTGTTCTGCCACTTGTTGTCAGGGTGGGATGAGGATGGAATAATGTGCAGAGCATGACCATGTAGAGCTAATGCAGATGGGCTGTTCAGACTTGTTCTAGCTTGATATCCCCCAGCCTGCTGAGACAGTGGTGTGGGGAGCACAGTGGGACCTGCTGAAGCAGTGGCCCCATAGCTCACTTCAGAGGGCTGGGGGATACCAGGGTGCAGGGACTGCCCTTGTGCAGGACCTTGTTGATATAGACAAGGACAGTGTGTGGTAAGATAGCCTTTACCTCCTGGAGTAAGCAGCAGGGAGCATGCAGTGTGAGTAGCTCCATGTGCTGCCAGCACAGAAGGCTCTGCCCACCCCTGCCCAGCATAGTTCAGGAGGCCTCCGATATGAGTAATGTTGTCCAGAACCATCCTCCAGCATATCTGGGGACCTCTGTCACTAGCACTACCAGCTGGAAGTTTTTCAGGAGGGTCTTGGTGAGGAGGAACCCGGAGGTGGAGACCAGCGTCCAGGCCCTGAAGAGGTCCTTGTAGAAATCTGGCAGCTCCTGCAGGTCCTGCTTGGAGATATCTCACAGCAGAAGAGCTGCTGGTCATATCAGAAACCTCAGAGGCAGTAGAGGAAGGTGTGGCTGATCCAGTGACATACCAATGAGGGTGGGTAGAGGGAGCCATGGCCCCCAGGTGCTTGCCTGGGGGGGTGCTGGCCAGAGAGGCTGGGGCACCTCCCACGTTTTG